ATTTGGTCAGTGTGACCAACTCTGCTGCCGTGTTCCAGATATGGAAAAGCATTGTCTGGTCTCATACAGAAGGTCTGTGAAGGAGTGTAAATTCTGGATGCTAAACATGGCTTTCTTTGAAAGCAAGAACAGCTATGTTTTGGATAGGAATAGCTTGAATCTTGAAGTTCCCAGATGAATCCAAAAAGCCTCTGGGAACATATAAGGCATGGATACAGCACATTCTTTTTCTTTGGAAAGTGGATTTCTGTGTGGCAAAGGATGCAGGATTTATTTCACCAAAAAATATGATTGCACATCATGATGATGTAGTGGTTGAGGGTTTTAGAGACAGAGGTATACTGTGTTGAGTTTGAAGGTCCCCCTTTCAGGCTCTATGCTTGTGTGCAACGGAGAAAATATTAGTATTTCCCATGGGCAGGGAAGTTCGTCTCAGACAATGAACAAAAATGCTCTTCCACAGTGTTTTACATGGCAAGTCAGGCCAACAAATGCCTGTCTTCAGAGTCGAACTTATCATCTGTGCAAACAGAGAAGTTCTTTGAACAAGTTGTCTGCTGGATTTACTGATACCTTCTGTGCCATCCGGCTCTGCCTGCTCCTCTCGCTGTTTCTGCTTGAACTTCAGGTTCCCATAGTGCATGACAGCCCCTGTCAGCTTGTAGATGGCCGTCTTCTCATCAGCAGTGAAGCCCAGGATGTCAATGGCACTCTGCAGTCCAAAGAAATGAAGTGAAAACATTGCCTAACAACCTTAGCAGTATCACCAAAAATATTTTCTTTACAGTACTTACATCTGTAGCCATGAGCTCCTCCTGGTCATCAATACTGGGAACAGTGACCTCACCTTGACTCACATAGTGGAAATCAAAAGGGTTGGTCGTAATGAGGAGCATGTCTGAAAGCAGGAAGAGGCAAGGCACGGTTGGCAATTAGTTTTGCCATCCGGGTAGTAGGGGGAACAGTTGCTCAGCAATCATCATCAAAAAGACATAATGGTGCTTCCTACCAATTAGCTCTGGCTTCTTATTGGACATGATCTGATAAAATATGTGGTAGCTTCTTTCTGCCTTGAGCTGGAAAGTGACTCTGGACTTCTCCAGCAGATCTGCCAAGGAACGGAGAAATAGTCAGGCACAGGAAGGCACATGGAGGTGGGAATCTGGGAGGGAATGGGATCAGGCCAGGAGAGTCTCTTACAAGTTTCAATGTCAGCAGAAGCCAGTTTGCCTGTGGCTCCAAAGTGGATTCTGATGAATTTGCCCTGTGAAGGAGAAGAAGTAACACTGCAGCCTGGATGGGTTCTTTTGACATCTACTTTACGTGGAATACTGCTAGGGCCATCAATTCTCTTGTAATGAAAAGGAGATATTTTGTCCAAAGTAACAACTTACAAAGCGTGAGGAGTTGTCATTCCTCACGGTCTTGGCGTTTCCAAAGGCCTCCAGCAGTGGGTTGGCGCTGATGATTTGATCCTCAAGCGTTCCCTGCAGGACGATAATTATTACTAGTTATCCTTTGCAAAAATCATGTCAGGAACAAAGGAAAGCATTGATTCAAAGCTAGCATCTATTAATTTGCCTGCATTTTGCCTGACTGTTCCTCCTTCTTCTTCTCCCCGCTCGCTGCAATTGTTGCAAAGTACTGGATGACACGCTTTGTGTTCACAGTCTTCCCTGCTCCGGATTCTCCGCTGTCAAACCAAAGAGAGAAGCAGAGAGCGTGTGGTCAGGCAGGAGGTACCCTGGCACCTGGCAGACCCACAGGGACCCAAGCAGACATGTACATACGTGATCAGGATTGACTGGTTCTCGCGATCTGTGAAAGAGATCAGAAAAAAAGAGTTTATTAAGAAGTATCATGAATATCCTGAATAAGACTATACCTGGAATTTTTACAATATGCTCTAGCAGTAGTCAGGTAATTAATTTCATAAACTTCTGTGCCTTCAGTCTAATTCCTTCTGAACGTTTACACTTCCCAGCTGTAGCTGGGAAGCTACCATGTCAACACTTATGTGGATATCATGTATAGTATACGTGCTTCTTTTCTGGATATTCTCTTTAGGTCAAGGTGCTCTTTTTCTTTATGAAAAGGGTTCCAGCTAAGGGGTACTTTTGTAGAGTTACTCATTAATTGAACTATGTGGAAACTGAAGTGAACTGTAGCAGGTACTTCTCATAACCTTTATAACACAGGAAAAATCACTCCAGATCAGTCTATACACTCCCCTAGATGATTTTTCTGTCAGTGGCTAATTGATTTTTGCCTGAAGAAAATGACAAAAACATCGAAAGTATGTAGTAACCTTTTAGCAGAATACTCTCCCGTATTCTAGAATATCAAAATTTTGGTACTTTCAGAGTTAAATTTGATGTTTTTCTTTGTAATAGCATAGGCTGAGCTTGCTGTCCAGAATTTTGTCTGGTTGCTTTTTTAACACATGCTCAGTTCTTTTTTTGTTGCTTCAACTTTTATCACCCAGTCTGCTCCATTTTTGAGTGACTTACTCTGTGAATGAAAAAAATGTGGTTGGTGCTGAACTTCATTTTTCATGTACTTTTTCCTTGTCTATTCATCTTCTCCGTGCCATGCATGATTTTATAAAGTAGCACAAATCATTTGCCTAGAGTTACCTGAGCAGATGTCCTGCCATACCTTTGGGAAATCTTTTCATCTTTGTCTTGACCTGTTCCATTTCTACTATATTCTTTTTTGAAAAAGGAAGAGCAGAAATGCATACAGTGCACAAGATGCAGACAGTCCTTGGGTAACAACAGTTTGGCCTCTATTTCTTGCTCAGTGATCTTCACCTTTCAGCTTGTTATTTTGTAGATTTCTGATCACTGAGCCAAAATTTTTGAAGTTATTTTAAAGGATATCTATTACGGAAGCAGTTGCTATCGGCAATGAGCCCATCTTTTAGGGTTTTTTCCTATGTCCATTGTTTCACATCCTTGTTGACCAAACTTTGTTGCCACATCACAAAATAATAACTCAATCATTTAATGCCATAAAGTCCCTCTGAAATTCTTCACTGTTAAACTTCATCTTTACTGGCCTGAAGGACTTAGTCAAACCAGAAACCTTGTTATCATTTACAGATCATTTAAAAAAAAAGTTCGACAGCAGAAGTCCCAGAACAGATTCCCGTGTGACTTCACTGATAAAATCTTTGCACTATGAAAACTGAAAAATAAAAGTTTTTACCATGTATTCCTTTTTCTTAACCACTTCTTTTTGAATCTTCTCAATTCTATAGCTGGTAGTGAATGTAAGCATAAAAAATAATGCTAAAAATAGCTGCTTTATCAACTGTACTAAAGATCTATGTTGAATCCAGATAGGTTACCTTTACTAGCTCTCCTTTGTAAAAAAAAAAATTAGTAGCTTTGTAAGGCAAGACTTCCTTTTAGAAAAAAAATCTTATTTTTTCTTGGTAAGTCACATATATTCACATGCCCAGTAATTGCCTTGTTTAGAAATTGCTGGCAGTTTGCCTTTTACAAAAATCAAGCTTACTGGTATGCTGTTCCTTAAAACTCCCTCACAACTCTTTTTAAAAGCTAGTGTAATGCTCACCAGTCTCCAGGCAATTTTTAGTGAGAATTTCTGATCTGTAGATGCCTGGTTGAATTCTGTCCTGGCAATTGACTAATGTTTATTTTATTGCTGTTTTTTTTATTCAGAAGTTGTTCCTCTGATGAATCACACTATAAGAAGGAATTCCAGAAATGAATACTTCCAACACTACTTTAAGGTAAGCAAATGAAAATCTCATTTAGTTGTTCTGATATAACGTTATGTTTTCCAAGTTGTCTTTTTTTAATTTTGACTCTGTCAGTACAGACTCTACAGACTCATATTAAGCTCTTCTGCTCTTTGTGTATTTGAAAAAGAAGTGAACATAAAGTCTAATGAATGCTGCAAATTTTTCTAAAAGCCTTGCTTTTGCATGTCTTCTTGTGTTTTCACAGTTAACTAGCCAGAGTTATGTTTTGAAGAAAGCCTATGTGTGTTTAAAAATGTTCTTTAATAGCCTGGGCTGTCTTTCAAAGAAAGTACTTTTTGCCAGATGATTTACACTTGTTCTATGCCTCTAGGAAGGTGTTTTCCAATAATTTGCATGCAGTCTGAAGAGACTAAGCCATTAGGTAACTAATTCCCAGTGGAAAAGTCTGGGTTTCCATTCATCAGGTTCCTGCACATGTACTGAAGGAAATGTATGATGAGTTACATACACACTGCCATGATAATACACACTAACCAATCATCAATATACTATTCTTCCATTTTCACAGTATTCTCTTCCAATTAACCTTCTTGCCGCACTGAATACTACAGAATTAAATACAGTAACTGGGGAGGGAGGGGGGAACAAGATTTATTTTAATGAATTAAAATGTATCTCTCTTTGTTTAATATTTTGCTGACTAATCTGCTCTTCCTTTAAAGTCTGGACATTTAGACAACACTAGAAATGTTCTCACTACACTTCTTATTGCTTCTATTTATATTCATGAATGGAAAAGAAGAAATTGTTTCTGAGATGGAGGGAGGAAGTATCAATTTTCCGAGCAGGCTTCACTGTAATGTCTGACTAAGACTGCTTCCTGAGTTTTCGTAAAAACGCCAAAGGAAGCATTGGCTTCAATATTGCATCTCCTTTCTCTTGACACTGAATCTTACTTACAGACTCCACACTAGTGACTGTCATTCCTGCAAAGAAAATCATTCAAAGAACAATCCTCTCAACGAAGAAAAAAGTAGAAATTTACAAGTTTATCCATATCCTCCCAAATATCTTGGACAGTAGATTCTAACACTGATTGTTAGAAACATAATCCCAATGATGCTGTCCAGTAAAGACAATATTTTCAATGATGAGAGGACATCCATCTTCCAACACCATTAAACTGAAATATAGTGCAGTGAAATGACTTTTTATTTCCTCTACGAAAGTTCAAAGCCAAATAATTTTAAAGAAAACCAAGCAACTCACCAGTAAGCATAAACTGATAGGCGTTGTCAGAGATGGAGAAGATGTGTGGAGGGGCCTCCTGGCGCTTCTTGCCTCGGTAGGCCAACACCACCTCCGGGTTGTACACCGGCAGCCACTTGTAGGGGTTGACAGTGACACAGAAGAGACCCGAGTGGGTCGGCGAGGAAGGGAGACAGCATGTTGGCTTCCACTTAGCCTGGAAGAGCAGTTCCTCCTAGCTACCCAAAGGAAGACTGCGGCTGGCACTTACGTAGATCATCCAGGCTGCATAACGCTCTTTGAGGTTGTACAGCACAGCGGGTTCATGGAGGTGGGTCATCATGGCCATGTCTTCAACTTTATCATACTTAGGAGGGTTCATCTGGAAGACTTGATCTTCCTTCACGGTAAGGGTCTGTCAAAGGAAGAAGGAGATGCATGTATGTCAGCTAAGACCTGAGACTGGCAACTACATAGAGATTTTAAGCCTTGTTTCTTACTCACCTCTCCACCTTCAGTCTTGACAGTGACCTTCCCTGATTCTTTGCTTTGGATTGTCCCTTTCACAAAGGATTCCTTAGCATGTACCACAAAGACGGATGTCTTGGCATCGAAAGGCTTGTTCTGGGCCTCGATTCTCTCCTTTTCTGACTTTCGGAGGTAAGGGGCCGCCTCCCCAAAGGCGGCCATCTCAGAGTCTGGAGAAGTCATGTCTGCAATTTACTGAAGACACTTCAGCAGAGAACCCTGTAGGAGAAAGGAAATGTATCATCAACAGATCAATCATGTACCTTGCTTGTAAGGAGGTCTTTTCCGGCGTTTTAAAACTAAGCATATACTAGAATTGGTAAAACTAACAAAACTAGCCTTCCTGCTGTTTAATGATTTAAACCCAGAAAAACAAGTCTTGTTTTCATCCTTGAAGAATACAGAATAACCTTTTAAAAATTGCTGGTTTGTGTCTTGTGACATTGTACAGATTGTACATTGGCTTTATAGATTGTACAATGTCATATTTGAGAATATGAATTATGTTAAAGGAATCTTCTTATGTAAAATTCAAAAAAGGTATAGGTAGAAAATATACAGATGCCGTGAAAGCAGATGGAAAAACTTACCTGGAAAGCAGTTTCAGATGGAGGACTATACTGCATAATATGCAATAAAAGGGGATGCCTAATTTCAACAAATCACTAGACCCAGAAAACTTACCTTGAAACTCTTCTTGGAGACAGGGCAGAGCGCTGCAAAGACACTTTTATAGAGTCTGGTTGGCATATGCTCTGGATTCCTTCTCTTTCTTCGGTCAAAATATTTTTTGGCAAACATTCTTTGGCAAAGCATTGTCTGGCAAACTTAACTAAGGGCATAATTGTCATTTGATTTGACCAGATATATTTAGAAATGTTTTGTACCTTACCAACGATGTGAATGTATCGACTATAAATAATTTGACAAGAGACTTAAGGAGAAAATGTCAATTAGTCAAGGCACTTGAAGAACTTGGATGTAGGACTTATGGATTCTATTGCTGCATTTCCAGTGATTTCCTCCTGGACTCAAGGCAGATTATTATTGCATGTCTGTGCTGTAACTCTTCGGGTTGCATTCTGCAGATAACATTACAGTTTTCCACATGATGTTCTGAGGCTAATGAAGAAATGCATTAAGGGCAGTAAATAAGCTGTGTGGAAAAAACATGAAATGTGTTGTTGAATGAATTTAACTCGCAAGTTCATCTCTTATTTGAAATGTGAGAAAAAAAATGTATTACAGTCCAAATTCCTACATATGACATTCTTGGGAACTGAGATGCAGCCCAAGACAAACAATTACTTTCTTATTCTAAACATTCCTGTTGAAAGATGGGATACACACAAAAATGCATTAGGTACAGACTTGAGTAAGTATAAATGGGTAATATGTAGTGACTAGCACTAAGATAATTAACAAGGTTTTAGTGTACCTCCACCTTTACTACAGATTTTTAAAATTACAATAGAGCCAAAAATGCGAAGTAAATATCTAAACAGCTTAAGCCTGTTCCTCACATATGTACCCACTGTCAACATATGTCAAGCAACATCCTCAACTGAGACAGGAAGCAGGGCAGGTCCATGTAACACTTCACTAGCTACAACTCCAAAAAAAATACCCCTGCAACCAAATCCAGCTATCAACACAGTGCTGCCTGTATCAGAGCATTAGAGGTGGTAGGCAGTCCTGTACACTGCTGATACTCTGGGAAAAGGTGAATTTGCCGGTAGTCCTGGAGAGCGACTGATCTGGTTCTAGGAAAAGGGCACTGTCACTTGAGCTGCTTTAAACACTGTCAGATCTAAACACGCTCTTCTCCTGGTCGTTGGCATTTTGGTTATTAAAAGAGCTCAGTGGATAAAGCTCGGTGAATAACACAGGGGCAAGGTCAGAAAAATGATGCCTGTGATCCAAGGTAATATTCAGTGTCAAGCACTGGCCTGTGTGTGAAGAGTTTGTTCCAAGGAGGGCTCTGGCACTGCCAGCACCTGTTTTTTTGGAGTTCAAACCCCAAAGCTCAGCCCTGGGCTCCCTGCATAAGGAGGCTGATGGAAACACCCTGTGTCATGCCCAGATGGAACCCAGAAACAACCAGTGGGAAATGATGAGCGCAGGGGTGCACCTGAAGTCCTGCCTCTCTGGGCAGTCTCTGACTGCCATGGACATGTAGAAGCCAGAGGACAGAATCATAGAATGATAGAATGATTTGGGCTGGAAGGGACCTTCAAAGATCGTCTAGTGCAACACCCCTGCTGTGGGCAGGGATATCTTTGACTAGGTCAGGTTGCTCAAAGACGCATCCAACCTGAGCTTGAACACTTTCAATGATGGAAGACTCCACCTTTCTTATAAGCCTCCTTTATATATTAAAAGGCTGCAATGTGGTGTGCTCAGAGCCTGCTTGTCTCCATGCTGAACAGGCTCAACTCTCTCAGCCTTACTTCATAGGAGAGGTGTTCCAGTACCTAGATCATTTTTGTGGCCCTCCTCTGCACCTGCTCAAGCAGGTCCGTGTTTTCTTTGTACCAGGGTTCCCAGAGCTGGATACAGCACTTGACATGCTGTCTCATGAGAGCAGAGCAGAAGGGGAGAATCACCTCTCTCTGCAGGGCTGCTCTCAATCCAGTCATCCCCTGCTATATACTGATAGTGGGGAGTGCCCTGACCCCTGTGCAGGACTTTGTGCTTGGCCTTGATGAACTTCATCAGGTTCACGTGGACTTACTCTTCAAACCCATCAAGGTCCCTCTGGATGGCATCCCTTCCCACTGGTGTATCAATTGCACCACTCAGCTTGCTGTCATCTGCAAACTTGTTGAGGGTGCACTCAAGCCTACTGTGTATGTCATTAGTGCAGATATTAAACAGTATTGAGTCTGGTATGAACGCTTAAGGGAGATCATTGGCTTCCATTTGGACATTGAGCCTTTGACTGTAGCTCCTCAGATGCGGCCATCCAGCCAGTTCCCTATGCGTCTAACAGCCCACCCATCAAAACCATAAGTCTCCAATTTAGTGGCACGAATGTTGTGGGGCAGCATGTCAAAGGCCTTGCAGAAGTCCACGTAGATGACATCAGTTGCTCTTCGCTTGTACACCGATGCAGTCACTTCATCGCAGCAGGCCACTGGATTAGTCAGGCACAATTTGCTCTTGGGGAAGACATGTTGGCTGTCTCAGATCACCTCCCTGTGTTCCACAGACTTCGACATAACTTCCAGGAAGGCCTGTTCCATGATCTTACCAGTCACTGACTTGGGGCTGACCGGTTGATCGTTCCCAGGGTCCTCCTCATTTCTCTATTAAAACAATGAGATTAATTCCAAGAATGAAAATAGCTCCAAGAGAATTCCTGCATAAGCAATATGAGCCTAACTGACTATGGGCAGAGTCAAGGAGAGGTAATGAGCCGACTTCCGCTCAGATTTAGAAGGAAAAATGTTCCAAGAGAAGACCATTTGTAGGTGAGGAGAACACAAGTACATCTGTAAAGGAGAACACAGAAAAACGTAGACAGCAGCTTCTTGTGAGGAACATGTGGAAGGCTGCCTGACTGCTCAGGGTGCAGAAGAACTGTGATACACAACATACTGTCCCACCTAACCCTGCAGGTAACTGGAAGGTGTTGGAGGAGGTTGTCCTTTGACTGAACATTTCTCTGGTCAAATGCTAGCCGCAGGTAGAAATCCATAGCAAGAATGTGTGCGCTGGCTACCTCTTGAAGAAGAAACTGCAGTTGCAATAGAGCTCTATTTGGAATTTCTGTGCTCAGCACGGAAGCTGACCTCTATCTATCAATAGCTCTGCATTGGTACCTTAGTCCCCAGGTACACCCAAGGGAAGTTAACATCAAGCATTTAGAGGTGTGTAGGCTGTGTTTGATGTGGTGGAGGAAAACATACCTTGAAAGGGGACTGCTATTGATCAAGTTACAGGAAGATTATTGAAAGCAAGCAAGGATGACTTTGAAAAAGCAGTCCCCGTGGGATTTGCAGCATGCCGCTGTTGTTATCAGCCACGCTGTCTGGATTAGCAGAGCATGCCTGTAGGCACTGATGAGTGCACACTGTGAATCACTGGTGGATCACGTGACATGAAAGATCTAGCTTCAGCCTAGTGTGTAGCAAGATGGACACAGATTTTTGAAGTGGGAGCTACAGCAGAGGCGAGATGTCACTCTGTCACCAAAGCATCCACAATTCCTTCCTTCCTTCCTTCCTTCCTTCCTTCCTTCCTTCCTTCCTTCCTTCCTTCCTTCCTTCCTTCCTTCCTTCCTTCCTTCCTTCCTTCCTTCCTTCCTTCCTTCCTTCCTTCCTTCCTTCCTTCCTTCCTTCCTTCCTTCCTTCCTTCCTTCCTTCCTTCCTTCCTTCCTTCCTTCCTTCCTTCCTTCCTTCCTTCCTTCCTTCCTTCCTTCCTTCCTTCCTTCCTTCCTTCCTTCCTTCCTTCCTTCCTTCCTTCCTTCCTTCCTTCCTTCCTTCCTTCCTTCCTTCCTTCCTTCCTTCCTTCCTTCCTTCCTTCCTTCCTTCCTTCCTTCCTTCCTTCCTTCCTTCCTTCCTTCCTTCCTTCCTTCCTTCCTTCCTTCCTTCCTTCCTTCCTTCCTTCCTTCCTTCCTTCCTTCCTTCCTTCCTTCCTTCCTTCCTTCCTTCCTTCCTTCCTTCCTTCCTTCCTTCCTTCCTTCCTTCCTTCCTTCCTTCCTTCCTTCCTTCCTTCCTTCCTTCCTTCCTTCCTTCCTTCCTTCCTTCCTTCCTTCCTTCCTTCCTTCCTTCCTTCCTTCCTTCCTTCCTTCCTTCCTTCCTTCCTTCCTTCCTTCCTTCCTTCCTTCCTTCCTTCCTTCCTTCCTTCCTTCCTTCCTTCCTTCCTTCCTTCCTTCCTTCCTTCCTTCCTTCCTTCCTTCCTTCCTTCCTTCCTTCCTTCCTTCCTTCCTTCCTTCCTTCCTTCCTTCCTTCCTTCCTTCCTTCCTTCCTTCCTTCCTTCCTTCCTTCCTTCCTTCCTTCCTTCCTTCCTTCCTTCCTTCCTTCCTTCCTTCCTTCCTTCCTTCCTTCCTTCCTTCCTTCCTTCCTTCCTTCCTTCCTTCCTTCCTTCCTTCCTTCCTTCCTTCCTTCCTTCCTTCCTTCCTTCCTTCCTTCCTTCCTTCCTTCCTTCCTTCCTTCCTT